TTCAGGGTTTAGGGTTTAGGGTTTAGGGTTTAGGGTTTAGGGTTTAGGGTTTAGGGTTTAGGAGCCCCCGCTGTGTTTTTCAGATGAGAATGGCACTTCAGCCCAGAGCTTTCACTCCCGCCCTGGACCGGAGCTTCAAGCTTGATTTTTCCAGGAAAGTTTCTTGCGCGCCCTCCGGAGTAGGGTGATAATGTACCCAAGGTTTGGTTCATAGCTTCCCTACTACTTGTGTCAGTACTTAGAAGTACCCCAGTGAACCTCGAAGTAGGGTTTAGGGTTTAGGGTTTAGGGTTTAGGGTTGAGGGTTGAGGGTTTAGGGTTTAGGGTTTAGGGTTGAGGGTTTAGGGTTTAGGGTTTCGGGGCTCTGGCCTTGGCTCTGGCTTTAGCGCGCTTTGTGTAGCATTCGGGTGGCCTCAGTCTTTTCTGCGCCACCTCGCGACCTTGCCGAGCACACCCAGCATAAAAGGTTGTAAATGAACCTAAATAATGATAATATGGTTCAGGTAAAAACCAATAAACATGGTACAATTAAAATTAAAAAATTCAAAATTGTGTGTTTAACAAATATTCTTGTTATTTGAAAAACGTTTCTCAATATATTTTATATAAAAAAAAGTTTTTGAAAACACAAAAAAATGAAAAATCGAGCACCTAAGGTGATCAATAATGTGTTAAATGATTTTATAAAATCATTAGAAAAGTATCAAATCCACGATTATTTGGTAAATAATTTTCATGAAAAAAACCAAGATGCCATTTACCAATTAACTAAGTTTTATAACCAACTTTTTTTAAATCTTGTGGCAATGTGGTAAAGTTTAAAGGTAATGCAGTTGGTGAAGTGGGCATAATAACATGATGCTGCAAACCCGTTCGTATTGGATATACACCAGCTAATAATGCTGATCTAGTTGGTGAACACCAATGTTGTGTATAATATTGGTTTAATATTAATGATTCACTTGCCATTTGGTCAATATTTGGTGTTGTAAAATCACTTGAACCATGAAATGACACATCATTCCAACCCAAATCATCAACTTTTTATATTGTAAATGAATATATTTTCACACCACACCCCGAACCCTGAACCCTCAACCCTCAACCCTAAACCCTGAACCCTGAACCCGGAACCCTGAACCCTAAAGGCCCTGAACCCTGAAGGCCCTGAACCCTGAACCCTAAACCCCCAACCCTGAACCCTGAACCTAAACCCCAATCGAGGCCTCCGCTCCCTGTCGCTGGCCCTTCTGGCCGCCCTGGCCGCCGGGGTACCGGTGACACGCCGCGTGGCCACGGAGGATCCCCTGAGGTGCGGACACTCCCTAACCCCCCCCCCCCCCCCCCCAAACCCCAAACCCCAAACCCTTAAACTCTAAACCTTAAACTCTAAACCTTAAACTCTAAACCTTAAACTCTAAACCTTAAACTCTAGATCGCTGCAAGCTCCCCGCAACAGTTTAGCTCCCCCACCCGAAAACTTAAGAGCTGATTACTGCAACAGCCAACGGTTTTACTCACCCTGTGTGCTAGTTTTTGGCATGGGCTTTGTCTTGCCCGCCCACTGCCTGTGGACCTCAGTAAGGGAGCGCTGCGCATCTTCGACTTCGGGGTTGCGTTTAGGGTTTAGGGTTTAGGGTTTAGGGTTTAGGGTTTAGGGTTTAGGGATTTGGTAAAGACAATGGACTCCTGCATACCCTAAGTCTTGACTGCTCCGGGGTCAGGCCGGCCTGCATCACCGTGGATGACCCCTTCGACGATCTCAAGCATGTTGCTCGTCCCGACATGGCCGGGGTCAAACCCTAAACCCTAAACCCTAAACCCTAAACCCTAAACCCTAAACC